TTATAGTCATTGAATTATTATTAATAATTATTACAATAATAATATAGTTATTTTGATTAAATAATAAACGAATAAAATGTAATTATAATTATTATTATTATAAGACTCAGTAAAAACATTATGGGTTTTTATAACTCTGGCTGGTACCTGTGGTCACTGCATGTCGTCAGTCTTCTGCTCGACTCCTTTGGCTTGGCTGGTGTGCTTGACTTTTGACTTCTGTTTGCATGGGAGCCCAGAGGGTTGGCCCCTCTTCCTCTGGGTGTGGGCCCCCAGGGCAGCCGCTGTCGGGCTTGAGTTTGGGGTGGAGGGCTCTGAGTTGGGCGGGGTTGAAGGTGGAGAGGTGGGCTGGTGTGGTGATGGGACAGGACTGCACGCTTGACCTGTAGAAAACATGATGGTGCTTCAGCAAAAGCACTGTCCTGACAAGAAAAACTCTTTTGATTTTAGGGCCAAAGGGATGATTAGTTATTAACATATTAAGGGTGAAGTCTGCTTTAAGCATTCATTTTCTTTGGCATTGTAAAACTTTTTTTGTGAGATCAGGGCGTGTAGTTACATTTTGCTTTACAGATAAAAACAAAGCAAAGCAAAGAAAGCTGAAAGCTGCACAGTGAATCCTGTTAGTATGATGATTGATGAGCCTCACCGGCAGTGCTGCTGCTGGCCTGAGAGTCATCTGACATGGGAGGCTCCGCCTCTTCCTGGATCGTAGGAACTGAGGCGAGCAAACCTGCCATGAAAAGAGAGAAAGAGGCTTAGTTGCAATTTTTTGTAAACGCTAATTAAGTTGTCATCTGCATAAATATACAGAGGTCGCATTATGTAAAATCAAATCTTTCTGATGGACTGGGTTGTAAATTTAGAGATTCTATTTTATCTGTTAGTAAATGCTGCAACTATTGGTATATATATATATATATATATTTTTTTTTTTACAACACATTGAAATCACCAGGACTTATGTAGCAAGACCTCTTTTAGTCTTAACAAGTAATGTTCTCAGTCTTGTTTTTTCTTGTGCAATGTTGACCAGTTATCTTATGTTTTATCTGTTAAAATGGCAGTTTTGAAAAGATTTTTCAGTTATTGCATCATTTGCAATCAATTTTCAGCTAAAATGGCCTCTGCAAATGTAATATTTTCCATTTTGTGTAGGCAAGCATAATTGCTTCTGTATGCAGTTTAACTATCTACAAAAACAAACTGCATCATTACAGTGCTTACAGCTACTGCTTCAAAGAAATTTAGTGTGAAATGACAGTAAATTACTGTACTGTAAATTATTGCAACAGCTTAAACAACCCCATACACAAGCACTCAATATCATCAGAATGATATTTTAGTAATTGATGAAACCTTATGTCATCATTGATAGGTCCACTGTGTGTTACTCACTAAGGCCTCTGTAGTGCGACAGCTGCTGGTAAACCTGCTTCATTCGTTCGATGTTGAGCCGGCTGCTCTCGGCATGGTTGATCATAGGTTTAGGATAGTCCACACCCACAATGCAGTTGGCCTCTTTCTGCACCGATTCTGGAGTGTTCCATGGCTCGTAGATGTAGCGGTTAGGATAGTCTTTTAACTTCGGGATGTACCTCCTGTATGTGAGAATGTACAAGACGGTTTTATATCAGATACAAATAATGGCAAAATAAACACTTACCTAATTTAATTATATACATTTTATTACAAATTATGTTATCAGTATAAAAAAAATCTCATTTCATAATTTCTTAGTATTTGTTATGGCATCTTGCAGGTGCTAAAATTTGACGCAGCTGGTTATTTTCCAAGGTATTCTTCTGATATTCTTTATTCACAATGTCACAGCAGCTCTTTTGATTATGCACAGTGGAAAGGCCTGAACCTGTGACGGTTTACATAAGCCTCTATGCAACACAAATTTGCGAAACTCTTAAAATATAACACCTGCCAGTGATGTATGACTTGCTTAAGAGTGGTTCAGGGCTGGTTTGTGTACCTGATGTAGTCTCCACTGGGATCCGTCCTGCGGCCGAAGCCCACGGGACAGTAACAGTGGAAGAACTGCTGGAAGAACGCACTGCAGGAAAGCCACATCCAGCTGCCTGCGTTCACGCTCCAGTCCGCATCCAACAACAACTCCTCAAATACCTGAAGGAAAGAGAAAGAGATTAAGAGATGAAAAAGAAATAAAAAGAAAGCAAAGGTGGCAAAGTTGTGCCATCTCATTTACTTTCATTCCACTTTCCCAGCTGATCCACAAGTCTCCGCGAGTGAGGAAACAGGCTACGGCATGTCTGGCCAGGTGGTGGATCCAGCCTTCCTGTCTTAGCTGGGTCATGATGGCATCAATCCAAGGGAACCCTGTCCGACCCTCTGCCCATTTAGCCAGGGCCTCGGGATTGTGATCCCAGGGTATCTGAACGCAGATGGGGTTTCCCTCCATATGGTCAAAGTTGGGGTTGTTGGTGCCTGCCGTGTAGAAAAACTCTCGCCACAGCAGCTGGCCAAAGAGCGAGAGGGGTGGACTGGAGCGTCTCCGCAGCTGGACAAGTGCAAAAAAAAAAAAAAAAAAATATATATATATTATAAATGCAATAGAAATAAAAATAAAGAAAATGCAAAAAATGCAGAAATAAAATACACAATACTAAATCATATAACAGTATATATATGCGAGATATGCACTGGGCAGTCATAAAAAGAGACATCTGAACATTTGGAAACATTTATAAATTAATGATTTATAAGATTTATGACTATGACCATAAATATGATCAATTTTAATCACTTAATGCAAGTGAGCAGCCCTTCAGCATTTTCATATATTTATTAAAAACAAACATTAGATGCCCTCTAGTGATGGCTGAAGTCAGTGTTTCTCAAAACTAAAACCATCACCATGCTAGAGTGCTGCCAGTGGTTGATAGGGAACTGCTAAACAGTTGCTAGGAATTTCTGTGTGATCAAGTCAAAAGAGCCCACACCCTGATCATGCGATAGCTAGATATGGCTACCATACCTTCATTCATGTCTGAATAACATGATAAAGTTTTCAGATTAAAGAAAAACAATCTCAAATTTTTTGAAATAGGTTCAAGAAATTTATTTGATGTATTGTAATCTACACTGAAACATCGTAGATGCAATATATCGCAGAAACATTGTTTGTCGCTGACAGAAGCATGCAGTGAAAGGCCTTAAATAAATTACTGCTTACAAACATAACAGCTTAACAATCCCATCAGCATTTTAATGAAAATAAACTCTTTTATACAATACAAAAAAAGAAAAAGGGACAAAAAATAAATAAAGCTGTTCCACATTGCCAGAGAGAACATCTTAAATTGTTAAATTATTATGAACAGACATTAGTGGAATGTAATCCTCGTCAACTGTTAGAAAACCTGCAGACTTGGTAAATAAATCAAGCTTACTGAATTATAAACTGAGGACTGGATACGATTAAATTCAGAAAACTTTAATGCAGCCAATGGTAATGAAATGTTTGCATTCAGAGTTACATACACAAAGCGTATATTTATAGGGATAAATTACTGAACCAGAAACCGAAGAAGTAAAATTCTTCATTGCTTGTGCGAACTAGTTGCTTGTAGCTTGCAAGCAATTATAGAGTCCAACTACATCAGACTTCATACAAAAATTACAATTCTCAATTCCCCTGGTATCTTCAAATGTTCCCTCATCATTTCTATTATCAAACATAAACCTGGGTTGCATAAAATTTGGCTAGATTTCATGAATACTTATATCGGCGAATCGCTCGTTACCCTAAACTTTCAACAGTGACAGCAATATCCATTAGATCTCTGTCAGATCGTAATGCCAAGAGAACTACACATCTGACACAGATCTGGATCTTCTTACAATCATGTTTAGTTTAGCAGGTCAAAACTGGAACAAAAGCAGATTTTTTATTATGGATGTTTGACAAATAAGTCCTGGATTTGTCACACGCATTGACGGAACTGCAGCGTTAATTCTTTAGCTGTAATTTTTTTATTAGTGCTGTTTCTGTTCTTCTGCGAAAGGTGGCGCCATTTCACACTTTTCTCCTGCTGTTTCTGTCTGTCTGATGGTTCAGGTGGACTCCTCCGACTTCCTTGGATATGGGACCGCTGATGCAGTCTCAACCTGAAGAGAGCAAAATACATTTATATATATATTTCATCATCATCGCTGTCGGCTGGTTCATTTTGCTCCTTGCTGGATACGCTTAATAAATCAGTTGTGGGATTTAGCAAACATAAATTAAGAAAGAAATAAAGCTGGTTTATGAAACTGCTCCCAGACCTCATGAAACATTGCAGTAATAACTAGATACATATTCATTCAACCGGAGCTGCCAGCTATTCAAATTAAAATGACTGACTTGATTATGAAACTGGACTTTTTCAATGCATATATGCATAATTTAAAATTATGCTTTTTAATTTGTTGATAATTATGAACAAGAATATCATATTTAATTATTAATAAGAATAATTATATGAGTAATGATAATTATTATCATGAATTATTTTAAGCTAAAAACATAAAATCTCATTTTTTAAATACATGCTTTTTAATTTGACTTTTTTTTTAATAAAAAGTAATAAAAAGTGTTGTTTCAATATTTTATATTTTAATGTATACATATATACACAATTATAATAATTATTTTATTTAAAAGTACAATGATAGTTATTTTGAATAATTAATAATATATAT